ATAATCCAGTCCAGGTTCGAAGAGTCTAGGTGTTGCAGTTTTTAAACTAGACTCGATTAGATGCGGAAGGTAGTGAAAAACTAGGTGGAATCACCCTTTACCCATTTCCCGAATCGGAAGCTGGAATCGCAAACTAACTTCAGCTTAATATTTCAGACTGGGACGGGGAAATTAAGACCCAGTAGAACCAGTTACGGATTTATTATTGGGACATTATCTGTGTTTTTGAATGTCATTTGGTACATATATATAAAGAAACCACCACCAGGTGCTACTAACGCGAAACTTGAATCTCCTGAGTTTACGGAAATTTAGTTTCAACGCGGTGAGCTCCGCCACAGGGCGCATGCGCACACAGCAGGCGGTTTTCCGTTATTCTGCCGACAGAGCGCTCATTTTGATATTCTTTAGTCTATTTAAGAGTTGAACTCACCGCTAAAGAAGATCGCAGCTGAAGCGTCTCTGAAATCTTGACCCGGATGTAGAAACAGCTTCCGGGTCAGAACTACTTCTTCCGGTGTGTCTATCTGTGAAAGCCGCAATTAAACCATCGCGAAAGCAGCTTGTCTGTCAGATACCAGGTGACGGCAAAGCGCGGAGGCCCTCAGTCTGCAGGTAAACTCCACGACCCTCTGAGGTCACCTGGAAACCAGTTTAACCAGTTAAACCAGCGGTAGAGTCCGCGGTGCTTTCAGCGAACTGGACTCTGTAGGAGATCGGAGCTAAGGTGCCCGAAGCTTTGCCTGATCAGAACACCGCAAACATATCAGTTGCTGGTGGTACTGAAGGTTGTTGGTTCCGATTGGACTGCAGGTTGTCTGTAGGTCCCGTCCGGGTCTGTTTGGAGATTAAACAGCGGATGGATCCGAACGAATCTGATGTTCGATGTTCGTAGTTTAAACCGATACAGAACCGGTGTTCATGGCTCAAATTCCGGTTCCGATCTGAAAAGCTGCAGCTTCAACCAGTTGATCACTTGTTAGGTGTGTAAACATCCCGGTTCCGTCGGTCCGGATCCTCATGATCTCACTAGAACAGTAGCAGGTCTGTGACCAGAAGGGGGCGCTGGACGCTTCAGCGTTTCTATTTTCATTTAAAACGCAGTGAGTCCTGATTGTTTTGTTGTGTTGAAAATGCAGCTGCATTAATTATTTCCTGATTGGAACAATAGATATATTTTGATCAATAGAAAATCTTTTTTATCGAGAATTGGTTTCGTAAAGGTGTGTGAGTTGTTGGATCACTTTTTGGATGCAAATGGTACCATATTACAGCATTCTGAGTTTTGTGATAAATTTCAATTATATTGTACCCAGGCAAAATACAAAAACATTCTTAAAGCCTTCCCTCGTCAGCTTGTATCAATGGTCAGACAAGATTTAATGTATTCTAAGGTTTGTCCTCATTTAAGGACTCTTTTGATTGAAAATGTTGATTTTTGTGATGACAAATGCAATAATAAGCTTATAAGAAGCTGTTTATCCAGTAATTGTGCCATGGATGTGCTTAAAACAGAGTATATATCCTTAGAGACTTTAACAAAGAACAAACTAAAAAGATTAGATCAAGATATTTATGTTTTCCACTTCCTTCCAAAATAAAAGATATGCAGTTTAAAGGACAAACATATTGATGGTTTATTGATGTCTGATCTAATTGTTCTGTTCAGGAGCCAACTGGAGTGAAGATGCTGCGGAGGAAACCGACCCGATTGGAGCTGAAGATCGACGACACCGAGGAATTCGAGAGTGTTAAAAAGGAGCTAGAGGTTCAGTCAACCCCTTATCTGTTCTGACCCGTCTGGTTCCGAGCCGGTCATCATGTCTGTTCTCTCTTCAGGCCAGGAAGCGACAGCGAGAGGAGGCGGGGTCAGGAGCTGGAGTGGGCGGGGCTTCTGTCATTGGTGTTGATATGATTGGGGGTGGAGCCTCTGTGTCCTCCACAGCTGCTTCGAGGGCGGAGCTTATCAACGAGCGAATCGGCTACAAGCCCCACCCCAAGCCGGCGACGCTGCCGACCTTATTTGGAAGTTTACAGTTTTAATAAAGTTTGGACAGGCTGAAGAGGCTGTTGGTTTATTTGTTAACAGATAAAATTAGCCAATAGGAAGCCAGCAGCTTTTAGTTCACTGAAAAACACTGCAGTAAAATAGACCAATCAGAGATGGCGCTGTAGACACCTGCAACATCATCCAGGAAGTGCGATAACTCGGTCTGCCGCTGCATAGAGAAGGACCTCGCTGCAGCAAACAGAAAGGGGCGGGACTGACCACTGTCAGTCTCATACCTTGTTTGGAAATGGGACCATTGCAATCCGGAAGTGAAGGGGGTGCTATTTCCGTTTTTATTTTCTTTTGAAATCTGTGATATAGCTTCATTGTTAGGAAGGAGTTTTACTCAACATGTATTTGAACTTCTCTCTTTTATTTACTTCAGCTCAGCTCACAGTTTTTAACAAATTCTGTAGCTTTCTGTGTACTTCTAAATCTGCTCCTTAGTCGCATATTTTCGGGCCTGGTACTGCCTCTAGTGGTGTGGGGGTGGTAACACAACTAATCCAATTACATTACTAAATCAGAACATGTCTTTATTATTTATTACTAATTCTGGCATTACAGGGACCATAAAAGATCAATTCCCTCACAAAACACCATACTTTTTCATTCTCTTAAGAAAGTATAGCTAATGACCTAAACAAGACCTGAATGTGGTTCCAGTTTCTCTCAATGGTCAACTTGTTGAAACTGTGGTTAATTTTAAATACCTCAGGTCGTTCCTGGACAGTCAGTTCAAATTTGCTGAAAATACTGCCTATATTTTTAAGAACTGTTCTCAGAGACTCTACCTTTTAAGAAGATCCAGTGATCTTGGGGTTACCCAACTAGAGCTTGTGTTCAAGACAATGTTGAGTGTTTTAACTTTCATCTCCTCATCTGGTTTGGTCAAATGAGCTGCAGACTAACAGACAAAGTTTTAAGAATGCTTTCAATGGGTAAAGTAGCAAGTAAACTGGTGACACCAAAACCATCTCTGTCTCAACTGTTTGCTGAAAGAACATGAAAGATGGCAGGAATATTTTAGAGCATCCATCCTCATTACTCATCAGTTTGACCCTCTGAGCTCATGAAGATGCTACTGTGTTTCTCTGGTAACTAAGAACATCTATTAGACGTCATTTATTGACAATGCAATAATTGTTCTTAACCAAACTAAATAACATGTACCTATAGTGTGCTAAGTATTTTGTTCTACTCACAAATTGTTGATAATGTGATTCGATGAGTTTTATTTTATCGTTTTAGAGTTTAAGGAAAATTTCCACCTTGATATATTAAATAGTTACATGTTATTTTTTCCTATATATAACCCTCTACCAATAAAAAGTCTGAGAATAACATATGGCACCATAAAAGTAAAAATGTGAACTTTTACTTGTTTCTGTCTAACAACCCTGGTTGTAACAACCAAATTTGTTATTCTTCTAAGAACCTAATTTATTTGTTTGTTATTGACTTTTGCTAAATTAAGTTTCTCATTGTAAATGGTATTTTACAATTTCTTTTGTTCCTCCTATAATTGGAGATATATAGATATTATTTATAAAGTATAAAGGCCTCGTCTATGTCATTTTAATTAGCTCTGATGGTGTTTTGTTGCAGAATTTATTTTTTAAGGTTCCAGTAATGCCAAAATTACTAATTACTAATAAATAATAAAGACTTGGTGGTATTTTAATTTAGTAATGTAATTAGTACGTAATGTAATTATATTACTTGTGCTATATTAGTTGTGCTACCACC